CAAGGGTCTGGATTGAGACGAAACAGCTATGGCACATAGTCGGACCTTCCATCTTCAGCCGTGTCGCTTCCTTCACCATGAACATTATCACACAAGCCTTTGCCGGCCACCTCGGCGACGTCCAGCTCGCCGCCATCTCCATAGCCAACACTGTCATTGTCGGCTTCAATTTCGGCCTCTTGGTATATATAAATACACATATATAAGACGCACACAAACACAAAATTCTTATCTTAGCATATCATGAATTAATCTTCAATACATAATATTGCTAACCCTAGCTTTTCTATGATTAGCTGGGTATGGCTAGCGCGTTAGAGACGCTTTGCGGCCAAGCTTTCGGCGCTAAGAGATACGAACAGCTGGGAATGTACCTGCAGAGATCGTGGATCGTTCTGTTCCTCTGGTGCTTCTTGCTGCTTCCGTTTTACGTATTCGCAACGCCATTGTTGAAGCTTCTAGGGCTGCCTGATGAGGTAGCAGAGCTGTCGGGAGTGGTGGCTTTGTGGCTGATCCCTCTCCACTTCAGCTTTGCGTTTCAGTTTCCGTTACAGAGATTCTTGCAGAGCCAGCTCAGGACGCAGGTACTGGTGTGGGTATCTTTTGTGGGGCTGGGCGTGAATGCCGCAACATGTTGGCTGTTTGTGCACGTGTTGGAATTTGGAGTGGTGGGTGCCGCCATTGCGCTTGATATTTCTTGGTGGGTGTTGGGATTAGGGCTTTTCTGGTATACGACGTCGGGTTGGTGTCCGGCGACGTGGACTGGTTTCTCTCTTGAGGCGTTTGCTGGACTTTGGGATTTCGTCAAACTCTCTTTTGCTTCCGGCCTCATGTTATGGTAATTAGTTATTTCATTCTTTTCTTACATCTATATATATATATATATACATATATCACTCTTCCCATACCCAGAAAAATTTAAAAATTTTCCTTAAATTTGGACTTATTTAAAATTTCTTCAAGGTTGAGATTTAAAAGATCTCCTTACATCTCTCTCTCTCTCTCTATATATATATAATTTCTTTTCTACAAATTAAAGATATGCTTTTATAACATCTTTTATCTCACTTATATTTGTCGAGTAATTAGTAGTTATTTTAAAAATAGATATTTATGACTTTCCTTGAAATTGAAAATTTTGCCAACAAGAGTTTACATGTGTGTGTGTGTTTATATATATATATATGAGTAACCCAACTAAATAAATATAAATATTGTTTATGCAATTTAGAAATATAATAAATTAAATTAATTTAATTTAGTTATCCTAAAGATTAATAATATATTTATAAATTAAATTATTGATCTCGTAAATATAATACCAATAGTAAAATGATGAGTTTTAAGTATTAATTAAGTTTAAATTTATAATTTTTAAATTAAATATCATATTTTAATAACTTAAATGATCATAGTATTAGTAAGAAATATACCAAGTAGGGACTTTAATTTTGTTTTCCATTTTATCTATATGCAATTTTTGTTTGTTTCGTTAGTAGTTGCAAAATGCCACATTACCCACTCCCTCATTAACATGTTAACAATTTTCTACTTCTCTAATCATCCATCTGCCATAATTAACACTGACTACTACCGCTTACCTTGAAGCCGCCACCAACTTCTTTTCGATAAATTGACATATAACATAATATTTGCGATTTTGCCCGTCATATATTAATTTAATTAGTATAAATTAGTAATTCACTAATATAGTTATGTGTTATTTTTCTCTTAGTTTATTCATTTTAAATATTTATTTATTTGTGTTGTATATATTTGCAGCTTGGAAAACTGGTATTACAGGATACTGATATTAATGACAGGACATTTGGAAAATGCAACACTAGCTGTGGATGCCTTATCAGTCTGGTGGGCTATCTAATTTTATCTAATCAAAATTATTTAATTAAATTAAGTTAAATTTTAATTTTCTTATTTATAATATTGTTCTATTAATTTGCAGCATGACTATTAATGGGTGGGAAATGATGATCCCCTTGGCTTTCTTGGCTGCTACCGGGTACAAAATTTCAACAATTTTTTTTTTTTTTAAATTTCTCTAGTTATTAGTTTAATTTTCTTGCAAATTTTAAATTTATTTATCGGGTCGGGTAATAATTGAATAATACTAATTATAATTATTATGTAAAAAAAAAAAAAAAAGAGTAAGGGTAAGTAATGAACTAGGAGCAGGTAATGGGAAAGCAGCAAAATTTGCAACGGTGGTGGCTGTGATCCAATCGACGTTGATCGGAGTTATATTCTGCGGAATGATCGTGATATTCCGGGACAAGCTTTCTTTCATTTTCTCTTCCAGTCCCGACGTGCTTCGAGAAGTTGACCATCTCGCTTTCCTATTGGCTGTCACCATTCTCCTCAACAGTATCCAGCCAGTTTTATCAGGTCCCTCCATCTTCCTCTTTTTTCTTTTTTTTTTCTCTTTAGTTATCGTCAGAATGAATTAATTAATTTGTTATAATTTAAAATTTTAATCTTTTGAGTATTTTAAAAATAATTAGATTAGATTAGATTACTAAATTAATTTTTTAAACGTTAAAGTATATTTTAATTGTTTGAATTTAAAGTAAATAGAAAATATTAAAAATTAAATTGTAAAAAAAAAAAAAGCATTTGTTATTAAATTATTATGAATATTAAATTTTAGAGTAAGTTGATAATTTGATATTATTATTATATAATTAAAAATAAAAAAAACAATTGTTGATGTGACAGGAGTTGCTGTGGGCTCCGGGTGGCAAGCGTCGGTTGCGTACGTAAACCTGGCCTGCTATTACGTTATCGGCCTTCCTCTCGGGGCTGTATTGGGCTGGGTTTTCAACATGGGTGTTGTGGTACCTTCCTTCCTCCTCTCATTTTTTTTGAGATAAATGAGAAAATTTTGACTTATTCTTTAAGCCTTGACTTTTTTTTTCTCAAAATCTTATATTTTATTTAATTTAATAAACTTTATAACGTACTTAATTTATTTTTTTTAGTTTAAAAATTTATTGAAAATTTTATTTTTACAAATTTTATTTGATTTTTGTTGAGAAATATAATACATATTAAACATAATGGCTTGCAGGGCATCTGGGGAGGAATGATCTTTGGTGGCACTTTTATTCAAACTGTGATATTGGCCATCACAACCATAAACTGCGATTGGGAAAAACAGGTGAATGTGTGTGTGTGTGTGTATATACATGCTAATTTTCCTCTGAATATAAATAAATTATGATTTTTGCTTTGCAGGCTGAGAAGGCTAGAGCGAGAGTCCAGAAGTGGTCAACCCCCTAATCCATCAGAATTGTATATGGAATTAATTAATTAATTCAATTACAATTTTTAATTATTTTTCAGATTTTCCTTAATTTTCCATTTCTGATTTTTTCTTAATTTTCTAAATTCATATAAATTATCACTGAGTATGAATTTTCAAATAATTATATATTAATATGTAAAATACAAATAATTCATATTTCGTGTTTACAGCGGCAAACCAAGGAAAATTTGAAATAATGAAAATGCCCGTCAATTTCAACGACATGCATCATCATCCTCTTGCGGAAGCGACCAGAGAAACCCTGTCTAGGCCGAGCCACACGCTACCAGAACCAAATTGGGCCAGTTCCTGACTCGGCTCTGCAAAGCCTTGTCCAAAGACTCCGAACTGAGTCAATTCATACGACTCTGATCTACCACCTCCGAGTCTAATCACCATCATCTCCCCATCTCTCTTCGTCTTCTTCGTCGTCAATGCCTCGACGACCATCTTCTTTGTTTCCGCAACTAATTCCCATAAGCTATCGTTCTTCTTCTTGTTTACAAACAACAACCGCGCGCGCTCTCTGCAAACCTCCAGCCTGTTCAAGGAGCTCAGTAAATGAGTCAACTCGGTAATGCTTAAGCCCATAACTCTTCCCACGAGTTGCCCAACTCGGACGAAGAGTTCCCGCTGAGCCAATCCATAATCTTCACCCACCAATCCCACGATCTCGTAGACCAAATCATTACTCTTAAGATACAACGAATCGGGTGGGTCACATATTTGTTCGACGAAGCTCACGAGATTATTCACCTCCATTAGCCAATCCGAGCTCAAAAGATTTGAGCCCAAAATAATTTCTTTACCAGAAAAATTGCTCTGCAGTCGAGGCAACTCAATTTTAGAGACCCTCTGCAAGTTCCGCTCCAAAAACGCAGCGTACCATCTAAGCCACGACGATAAACCCCACGTATCCGGGTCGGAATCATCACAAAACTTGGATAAATTAAGAAAATTTCTCCCACCAAACAAGGGGCAAAACAAGAGCTGGTCCTTCAAGATAAAGGAGCCACTTTTAATGATGTTATGGATTATGAATAGGCACTTTAGCGCAACGTAAGCGTTGCGGGTGCCACCTAGACGGTCCGTGATGCTCTCTATGCAGGCGCATGCAGTGGCGCGCGAGCCGTGGCCGAGAGCGATCACGGCGGCTATGCGGTCATCAGACGGCGGCGAAGAACTGTTGTGGGTTGTGGCGTGGACGATCAAACGCTGCGCGGAAGAGTTGTAACGGTTGGTTGATAGACTCGCTTTCACCAGAGAAGCTTTGTCTTTGAGAACGCCAATGACGAGGCGTAGCTTCCTTCTTTGTCGACCCATGAACCGCTCCAGACAGTGAAAGTAACATAAAGCATTAGAGAGAAGAGATCGGAGACTTTACTTAATCAGATCAGATGGATTTATAAATCGCGTACTTTACAATCAGTTTGACCGATTAAAAAAAAAAAAGGGAAATTGAGAATTAATAATTAATTAGTGAATTAGTCTAAACAAATTATTAAATACCGTGTGAGCTTTTGCATTGAAATTCTTAGTTTTTTTTTTTTCCTACATTTTAAAATTCATTTTAAGGTAAGTACCGTGTTAAGAAAAAGAAACAGCTCAGGGAATTCAATAAAAATTATAATATTTATATATATACATAATACAAGGTGTGTGTATATACAAGTATAATAATTCCAGTTGAAAAGTAATTAGTTAAATTAAAAGTCAACAGAAATTTACATATATCGACTTATATATTATTTTTCTACAAATAATTATAGGAATAATTGTTTTTAGTAATCCTTTTATTTCACAAAGAACATCTTTGCTTTTCTTTTTTTAAAAAAGTTATTACTAGCAATTATAACTTGCTAAATGAGTACAAGTGAATTGACTGACCTTTTAAATGTAACTCATCTAATTTAAATACTATTCTATAATTTTTTTATATAAATTTAAACTTTTTAATGACCAAAATAAATATATATACACACAGTACATACATAATTAACACGTGTATAATGCCTGTGAATAAATCTATAATACGGTGTAAGACTACTTTAGATCTTAACTAATAGTAAAAAATAAGAGAAAGATAATAATTAGTGACGTGGTAAGTTAAATTAAACGTGTTACTTTTTTAACATACTTAAATATTAAGGCAAAGCCGGCCGTAACTTAATATTGGAAAGAAAAGGTATGCTCGCGTGTGTGTGTGTGTGTGTGTGTGTGTTCCATATGTAAATATTGTAAAATATGATATCATAAATTATGAAATTTGACATTTCTCTGATTGATAGATATGAATATCACTCAGATTAATCTTCAAATATCAATCTTGCCTTTTGTAGCTAGATTTTTTCAATCTTATATAATAGATAATTAAATACGATACTAATCTCTAAACCCACACAAATAAAACCTATTACCACAATATATATATATATATATATGTAGATACATATAGTTCAAATAGTAGATTATGAACAGCGAACATGATCCAAGCAGGATTTCGCATTGAGTTGGCTGCTCTGTTGAAGCTCTAAATAATCTCTGTATTTGATGCCACGATAGGCCAAGGGTTGGCCCTCCTGGTCGACTAGCTGCTCCGCCGGCTTCACGACTGTGTCGAGCGGTGGCCCGTGAGCCGTCCCTATCGAAATTCTAGCCACCTCGCAATTCACCACCACTCGATGTACTACGCTTTTGTACTTTCCATTCGTTAATATCTAAATTTTATTACATATATGTATTAGTCTCATAATTTTTACTATATATAATTAAAATTAAAATCAAACTCAATAAATAGAAATGAATATACATACATACATATATATATATATACCTCCATGTGATCGCCAAGATTAACGAGGAAAGAATTAGGATGCGGAGGAATGGGGGGCAGCCAAAGGCCATTGTGGAAGATTTGGAGACCTTGGATATGATTTTGAACCAGGAGGGTCAAGAAGCCATGGTCTGAGTGAGGAGGCATTCCTATTGCTACTTCTGGTTCTGGACATGGCGGATACAGGTTAATTACCATCAGCTGTGAACCTCTCTCCGTCTCCATTTTCTCCTTTATGTATTCCGCTTCTAACCCTAACCCTTCTGATATTCCTTTCAGCAAATCACTTGTTATCTCTCTTGTTCTCATGCTGTATTCTTCTATTATTTCGCTGCAAATTTTACCCGCTATTAATTTTACAAATTTGATATGATTATTAAGCCAATTACTCATTAACTAGATGATTAATATTTTTTTCCATTTACAAAAGATTATGAATTAAAGTTAGACTGTATTCTTATTAAAAAAATTATCTTATTTATAATTAACTCTATAGATTTAAGTTAAATTGTATTCTCGTTAAAAAAATTATATTATTTATAATTAATATATAAATAACATAATTAGTAAGATATTTAATTATATATATATATATGTATATGAAAACAGCTAGCAAATATTATTAATTAAATAAGCACAAGACATGAAAGAGATTATGATCCCATGTACTTGGAAAACTTACTAGATAAAAGGAGTATATTATAATATTAGCTATAATGCTGGTCAACGTTGACTTTCATATGTGCGTGCAATATCATTTTATCCATCCTCTGGTTTCTTTTATTGAAAAAGATTATCATCCAGCTTCCATTTGATCTTGCATGTATGCGATACCTGTATATATATGCGTGTGTTTGTGTATTGTATGTATATATACCTGAAACCAGAAGGCTTCTTAGGAGCATTGAAGTGGGGATGAACATGAATTTTGAGATAATCTCTCCATAAAAATGTCTGATCCACGTTCTCATTGAAGCTGCTACCATATCTTATGGGATCAAACAGCTTCTTCCCTGCATATTCTCTCTTTTCCTCCTCTGTCAGATCGAAAAAACTACTACTTCCTCTTATCTATTCCGATCTCTCAGACGCTCAGGCACCC